AGTTTTGAGTCTTAAGGAGAACCATCCCACACTGCAGTTCATAACTTTCCTTGAAGCTTGTATGTAATGCCCAGTCATGCCCGACTATGGATACTCTGTAATGCTGACTTTATGACAAGGCATGACCAGGTAAACGCAAGATTTAAGCATGACAAAAAAGGCTTCATAGGATGTGATCAGACGTGCAGTTTAATCTGTTGCCGTTGCTATTCCCTTATGGATTTAAAGTTCACAATCAGACAGCAACATCTGTCTGCCGTGCCCCAGTTGTCTGTGCCCTCCCCTTACTGCAATTTTCTTTGATACCTGAGAAAGTCCAGTCCTGTTGGTCTGAGCTGGTTCCAAAATGGATTTCCTGATTGTTCTGTTGCACACTCAAGCCGTCGGGCAGGTCTGACTGGTCTGACTGGTCTCTTGTTTTCCAGCTGCCATTTCTTTTGCTCATTAGCGAAGTGCGCTTATCTGCATATTCGCACTGCTCTCTCTCTCTTCCCCTCTCCCACAGGGGCTGCTCTAAACTTTGTTTTCTTCATAGGAACTTTCAAAGAAAGATGCCCTGTACTCCAGCTTTATTCTGTAGTTTGAGGAAGGGGTAAATTGAAAAGTTTAGAGACGGAGGACTACATGTCCCAGCAAGCTGATCAGCACTTGTATGCATGCTTTTAAAAAAATGGCTGACGGCCCCATGAACTATATATCCCAGCATGCTCATAAGTGCTTGTGGGCATGCTCAAAGGATACACTTTTAAAAAAATGGCCGATGGGCTGACTTCCTGCCTTCTGCCATCTGATCATTCAGGCACATTGAAGCGTGCTAAAAGGGGTGAGTCTGATCAGGATTCTCTGTTACAGAATAACTTGGCTCAGTTAGAGATGGGGCAACAGCGGGTCAAACTGCCTGTCTGATTGCAGCCTTAATTGAACAATTTGCCCTAACCTGGATAGGCCAGGCGTGCCTGAGCTATCAGATCTCCGAATCTAAGCAGGGCTGGCCCTGGCTAGTATTTGGATGGGAGACCACCAAGGAAGTCCAGGATTGCCACGCAGAGGCAAGCAATGGCAAACCACCTCTGAACTTCTCTTGCCTTGAAAATCCTACAGCGTGGCCATATGTCAGCTGTGACTTGATGGCAACAACAACAACAAATTAATAGCTAATTTAATAAATGTTCTGTATCAACCAGGTGGAATGGCCACTAGTACTGGGAGGGGAGGAGCCAAATGACTGCTGGTCTGAGGTAAACCAAAGGAGGACCCCTCCATCACCATTTAACTTCTCCCTCCAATGCAGCTAGATGGAATGGCAACCGACAGAAATACTTTGGGAAAGGAATTGGACCAGATCTGGGGAGAAAACTCAAAACAGCATTTCAGGCTGCTGTGCAGATGTTGATATTACACTTCTCTTGTCTATCTTCCTTGGGAAAGAAAATGAATCTTTATTTTATTTTGAACAAGTTGAGGATAATCAGAAGGGTACTGGGCATATGAAAAGCAAAGAATAAGAATGGTACATCTGTGTTGCAGGTTTAATTTAATAAACAATGAGCTGATCAGAGAAAAGTCTGAGTATATTAAAAACATTCCCTTTGCTATGTGGTATTAGTGGTAGAATTTTGATGGTCACACAAGATAGGGCAATTCACCAGTGATGTTGGATGGCTTCTAGACTATTGACTTGTTTTGGAAGGAGTCTGTAGGTAGAATGCATTCATACATGTGACCCAGTACTGGGATGTGGAAGCTGGTCAATGAGCCACAAATTCAGTTCCATTCTCTAACGCAGTAGTCATTCCTTTATGGTCCCAGAATTTTCAGGCTTTCTATAATTAATCCTGGTATATAATTATGTTGCTTTTATTGCACCTTTCCAGTCCCTTCTGTTCATTTGCATCCTTTTTTCCTGCAATAAAGCAACCCTTGGTATGTATTAGATGTAATATTTGCAAATACAGCTGTTTTGTGCAGTATTTTACTGCTCTGCAAAGGTATTTCCTGTTCATTGGTAAACACACCTGAAAAATCCTGATAGAATTTGTGCAAACTCACAGTGAGTTTTCTTTATGTAGTGTTTAGCAGTGCATATGTGTACATCAGTAATACAAAGGAGAGAAGGTTGCAATAGAATTTTGGTTTGCCTCTGAATTTTCCTATTAGAGTGCAAATATCAATGTTCTTTATAAGGTGTAAAATCTGGGGAATTTTGAGGAAGCGGAACAAGTTTTTTTCTTTTAAACTGCACATACCTAAGTTGCCTAGCATTTGAAATGAATTTGGAGGCTAAGAAACTGCAGATGGGGGAGAGTTCATGGAAGGCAGTTTTGCTATTTCTCCCATCCCGCTGCAGCGCACTGTACCCCCCCCGCCCCAAATCCGCTCACAAACAACGAGAGACCATCACAAAGTGGTGTGGAGTACATCACCAAGGGTGGGGGGGACTGGTGGGGGTGGTTTTATTTTATTTAGTTAAAACATTTTTATGCCACCTTTCTACCGAATCAGGGTCCCCAAAGTGGAGTGCATAGAAACATTAAAACATTTGAACAATTAAAAGCAACATTTAAAATTATAAAATAAATCAATAAAAACATATAACAAACAATGCCAGTGGTGGGCCAGTCACTGTTACTGAGGGTATGCCAATTGGGGTTAGAGCTGAAAACTGACTCATCCACAGTCTTGCATGAACGTTTTCACGTGTGTGTGTAAAGTGCTTTCAACTTACAGCTGATTTACGGCAACTCCAGCAAGGGGCTTTCAAGGCAAGTCAGAAGCAGAGGTGGTTTCCCATTGCCTTCCTCTGCAGAGTCTTCCCTGGTGGTTTCCTTTCCAAGTGCCGAACCTGCTTAGCTTCTGAGATTTGATGAGGTCAAGCTATACCGTGCCGCGTTCCCTCCCACCCTTCCATGAATGGCCATTAATGGAACTGGTTTGTGTTTGCTAAGTGGTTCCTGGAGCTGCAGATCCTTTCCACTGCATCCCAGGCCATTTGGGAAACCCCCTGTCCTTCAGGAGCAACTGGGGATAGGGGAACTTTTAAAGAGGCTGATCTGGGAAAGAGGAGGCAGGAAAAACCATTTATGTGAGCTCCCTTCCACTTGTGGTTCCTTGGAATCCAAGCCTATAACCCTAGTGACATTCCTTAAGGGGATTCACACATCCAGTAAAGGGACTCTTCAGCATTTTCATCTCTTATCTTTGTAGTGGTCTTGAGGCCTACCTGAAAGCGCTCCCTGGACCACATTGTAAAGAACCGCTGTTCTCACTCGATGTGTTTTACTGGTGTCAGGTTCCCTTTTTTTTTGAACGCTGATATCTGCTTCTGTGAGTCTGGCAAAGATGATGTACTGACGACGTGTGACAGTTTAAAATAAGCTTGCAGATACCATGTTCTGCAGTCATTTTTCTATCAGCACTACTCCAGAGGAGTTTATTTTCCTCTGGGGGGAAAGAAAAGAAAGATCATTTACCAAAATAAGCTGTCAAGTCTCCAAGTCCAGTAAATCTAGAATGCTTTAATCTCAATTTGGTTTGTTTATATTCAAGCAAAAAAAAAAATGCATCAGGACCAGCCGAATACTTTTAAATATATTGCTCTCAAAGTTAGATATCATTTTCTAAAGCAATATACAGGCTAATTGGCCCTGCATTTCAACTGGGCCTCATAAAGCTTGTCTCTTTTTATATCCGGCCCTTCTCTGTTTTGACTTTTTCCACGATCCTTTATCTTCACCCTGCTGTTGGAGCCTTCCCTGCATGCATTAATCACATCAGTTTTGATTGACTGGTTCTTCCTAACATTCTGTGCTATATATTGGGGGGGGGGAGTTTCTCACTCTTTAAACTGAAATGTGTCAAAGGAGTAACAACATCATTTTCTTGAATAGGTGTTGTGTAAATTCATTGGCCACTATCCACTGGCATGTTTCCCTGGGTGTATCTTATTGGAGTGAGTTTATTTATTATGATGATTTATACCCAGCCCTTCCTATTAAGGAAGGGATTTCCATTTGCTTCAGTAGGGCTTATGCAGGAGACTGTCCCAAGAGGCTGCTCTTTTTATCACTCCTAGGAGAAAGGATGGGATCAAAACTGTCAAAAATAAATAAAATAAAAGCATATTAAAAATGTTCACTAGACTTCTTAATGGTAAAGCAAATTTAGGCTAAGCATGATAAATGGTATCCTTTTCTTCAAGTATACTTGTATACGTTTTTTTTTTCTTCCTCTGTTCACTGAGTATAAACTGTTAAATATTGTTTGAAATTCTTAGGGGATCATGTAACTATTCCCCAAGGCTGAAAAGGCCAAAACATGGCCCTTCTCAAACATCACTGTAGGCATTTCCTTAGCATATCTGATAATACTTTCAGATTAAGGTGTCTGAGCTTCTCCTGCCTGATAGCTGATCTTAAAGAATCCATTTTGGGGGTACAAATTTCCCAGCATGCAGCACAGATCCCATCGTCTCTCCTACCATTGGTACCTTGTTCTAACATAAGGTCCTCTAACCTGTCTGAGGTTCCAACACAGGTCCTGTTTTGCCTCCTGCTCAGTGCATGGATGGGGGAAGAGTTGGATTGCATATGCCTCTGACTCTATTACTTTTCTCATGAAACTGCCTTATACTGAATCAGACGATCGGTCCATCAAAGTCAATATTGTCTACTCAGACTGGCAGCAGCTCTCTCTTAGGCAGAGGTCTTTCCCATCACCTACTACGAGATCCCTTTGTAAGAAATTGGGGATGCCAGGAATCTTCTGCTCTGCCACTGAGCCATGACATCTCCCAGAGCCCCATTATCTGCTAAAATATGCTATTTTGGATTCAGCCAGTATAATTACGAATGCAAATCTACAGGAACTAGTATGACCTTAGTTTCCTAACTGCTGAACTACTGTATTTCCAGAAATCTTTCTGATTCACTGCAGAAGCCCAAACTGTGCAAATTGCTGCCATTGCATTTGATAATAACGACTCCCCCCCACCTCTCTTTTAGGCTGTATCTGAAGGGCCACTCAGGAACAGCAGGAAAGCAAAGCAGCCTTATCTTGCATGGGGCTGACTTCAGTACCAAAGATGCGGACAATGACAACTGCATGTGCAAGTGTGCCCTTATGCTAACAGGAGGTAAGTCCAAATTACCACATACAATAAATCTGGACAGATGTCTAAAGAGGTGCTTTAAGCTGTATCAGAATTACCATCCTTCTAGCCCACTGCTGACATGAGATCTCTAGCATTAAATCCAGGGTTGTGTAGTGGTTAGAGCAGTGATCTCTCTTTCCCCCCCCCCTCTCCCCACACACCAGCATGACACCTGTGAGCAGGGTTCCCTCTAAGCTGAGTTAGTGTGAGCTAGCTCACAGTTTTTTAGCCTCCGGCTCACACATCTTTGTCTTAGCTCAGGAGGGATGGCCCCAGAGCAAACTAATTTATGCAGTAGCCAAATCGCTCACTCACAACTTTAATGCCAGTAGCTCACAAAGTAGAATTTTTGCTCACAAGACTCCACAGCATAGAGGGAGCATTGCCTGTGAATGCTCTGGTGTCTGCCAGTGTGTTTTTTGCTGCTCATAAGAACATAAGTGAAACCAATGTCGGATCAGACCAACACTCTGTCACACAGTGGCCAAAAATACCAGGTGCCATCAGGAGGTCTACCAGTTGGTCCTGGACACTAGAAACCCTTCCACTCAATTGCTCCTTGAGCCTTGGAGGAAAATCCACAGGCTCTTGAATGGAAAAACAAGGGAAAAAATAGCTGACAGCAAAGCACTGAGTCAGGAAGGTGCATCACAGCTATGCATACTGGCCTGGCAATAAACAGAGGCTTCCTTATGTCTCTAGGCTTGGCAACCTCTTCCAGTGGATGCATAATGAAACTTTGGAAACTGAAACTAGGGTTACCAGATGTTGTCTTTTTAGAGGACATGCCCTCTTTTTTTCCCCTGTCCATCCTCTTTTGGGCTCTTTTAATAAAACTGATGAAAATGTCCTCTTCTTCAATTGGGAGGCTGAGCCTGTTTTGCCCTATAATCACCCAGTGGAGGCAAGCTTCATCTTAAATAGTAGGAGTATTTAAAATGAGATTTGTCACAGTGATCAGTGGTTTGAAGTAGTCAGTGGGGAACTATGTCCTCTTTTTTGCTTTTCACAATATGGTAACCCTAATACCAAATAGCAACTCAATGAGCTGCCCCTGTCCCTAATGGCAGCCATTTTGTGACACCATGCTCCAGTACTGTTACACTTTGTGATTACCCCTTCCCCAAGCAGCTGTTTTGTGGTGGCAGCCTATATTCGTCCTCAAAACTGCAAAAGTGGCCACAAGCTCAACAGGACTGTGTACTTCTGAGTGAAAGCACTGGCCTGGGAAAACCTTGATCCTAATCTCCATTCATCTATGAAACTCACTGAGTGGTCTTGGGCTGCTCACTCTCTCTTAGCTTCACTTACCTCATGGGGGCTGTGGTCACACGGAACGTTAGCCACGCTACAGAGACGGAAGATAGGCGGATTTTCCGGGCGCGATCAAACCGCAACATCTGGGAAGTGTAGAGCTCCCATGGTGAACCCGAGGCTTCCCGCCGAAGATGCCGGGGCAAGGGCGGGCGTCTGATCACGTTTCCGGTGGTAGCTCGTGGCATCCGGCACCCGCCCACATCCCGTTGCGAAAAGGTTTTTTTTCCAAGTCTCCACGGGATGCGCACAAGCACCCAATGGCGCATGCGCACACTTCGGTAAAAAAAACCCCACAACCACCACCGCGCTGCTTCTTTGCCACGCCACAGGATTTACGTATGATCGGCACCTCCCCCTGAACCACAGGACGTCGGCGAGACGTTTGATCTGGCGGCCGGCGCAGTAGTTCGGGCCGGGGTTGTTCTGAGGGTAAAGTGGGAGGATATTGCCACATACGCCACCATCAGCTGCTTGACAAAGTGTGTGAGAAACCTTAACCACTGTGGCTTCTGTACTGCCACCTGCAGTGAGGAACTCACCTGAACAGTATCTTGCGATATTGCAACATCACTTCTGACTGCATAGTTGGAAGTGATGTCACTTCCTGTTATGCAGCTGGAAATGATATTCCAGCGTCACAGAGAGCTGTTTCAGCCCCCTATATTTTCCCCTACCACGCTGTCAAGCATCCTTTGAAGTCAGAGGTTGGGAGCAGGCAACCTGACCTCCCTAAGTGAAAATAAGTTTCAAGGCTCTATTTTTAAGGAAATAAGACTTCAAAAAAGGTGGGAAATGTATGGGGCATCAGCACATTGAGCACTGTTACCGAATGCTCTCTGGGGGGAAATTTAAAAATAACTTAAATATCAGCAATACTACGTATTAGGATGGAGTTCCAAAAAGGAAAAGGGGGGAAAAAAGGAAAGGATGGGTTGGATCCCTTCCACTAAAATAAATCTACAACATCCTTCTGAGAAGGGTCAAAATACATGATACCTGTGTTCACTAGATGGCTCTGGGTTTCCTGAACCCAGTTTGTTTTCACATCAGCTTCAGGAATGTCATTTTAAAAATCAGAGTCTTTCCAGAATGAATGCCCCATGCCTTTCCTCCAGGCTATTCTCAGACACTGAAATCCCCCCCCCCCGAATTATTTACATAACTTTCACATGCTGCTTTAAAGCTGTGTAAACAACTCCCCTGGGGGGTGTTTCAGTGTCTGCAAATAACTTGGGGGAGGGCAGGAGACCCTCCCCTCTCTCCAAGCAGTAGTTCAATCTGAAAAATACTCCCTCTGACCATTAAAATGACATTTCTGCAGCTGATGTGTGATTCCAGGGGAAACAAGTTGGGTTCAAGAAACCCAGAGTCATCTAGTGAAGAAAGGTATCATATCTTTTGGCCTTAAGTCATCCTCTGACATAGAAAGCCTTCCTCCATTGGAAACAGACTTTTTATAAAGATTTTTTTCCATAGGTGGTACTGGTAAAATTTATTTCCTGAAAGGAAGGAAGTCTGTGACATCTGGGCATAGAGTAGGGGTCACTGAGAAATGAGAGGAGTTAGTTATGAATGTCCCATGTTGTGCAGGGGGTGGGCTAGATGACCCTTGAGGGACTTTCCAGCTCTCTGTTTCTACTTTTCTTCATCAGAGGAAGGCTATATAGAAGGATGGGGGGCTCACTGTAGCCTATGGAAGGGCAATGAATACATTTGAGCCAGTGAAGAAAGTCAGTGAAAGGAATCTACTACCAAAGCATATGGTAAATAACTACCGTTCTCTTAGACATTTTAAGTCACACTTCTTTGAATGGAGAATGTTCCCAGTCTTTTAAAAAGGCTGAATGTACAAATAAGGAAAATGTTCAGTTCTTCATCTGCAACTTTGTCAGCTTTATGACAAATCTTGAGTCATTGTTTTATCACAAGAACTACTAAATGCCAGTGTTTTAAAATTCCTAAATATGAATCTGGTACATTTGTTTCCTTGGATTTGCCACGTACAAGGAGTTTCCGCGGAAGTAGCATTTTAACAGCTTCACAACACTGAACACTGGAAAGATGCATCTCTTTTTTTTGTCACATCAAGCTGGCTAATAGCAAAAAGTGGCTAGATAACAAAATTGTAAAATTCATCTTTGAACTAGTTGTGTCCTGAATAGTAGAGAAGCTTATCAGACTTTCTGTTGGTCTTGGCAACCCCATAGGCAGTCCTTTGATATAAATTATATAGAATGCAAGGAGATATGTAGCTATCTTGACAATTCCGGGTAGCCTTTGTGAGATGAGCAAAATATTTTACATGCAACAATAGTGATAATCAGAAATGGAGATGGAAATATTCAGGGATGATACTAAACCTTGTTGTTGTTCAGTCGCACAGTCGAGTCCGACTCTTCGTGACCCCATGGACCAGATCATGCCAGGCCCTCCTGTCTTCCGCCATCCCCCGAAGCTTGCTCAACTTCATGTTCATTGCATCAATGACATGTTTAAGCATCTCATCCTTTGCCATCCCCTTCTTCTTTGACCTTCAATCTTTCCCAGCATCAGGGTCTTCTCCAGTGAGTGCTCCCTTCTCATTTGGTGGCCAAAGTATTTGAGCTTCAACCTCAGGATCTGGCCTTCCAGGGAACAGTTAGGGTTGATTTCTTTTAGGATTGAGTGATCTGATCTCCTTGCAGTCCAAGGGACTCTCAAGAGTCTTCTCCAGCACCATAGTTCAAAAGAATCTATTCTTCGGCGCTCGGCCTTCCTTATAGTCCAACTTTCGCAGCCATACATTATTACTGGGAATACCATTGCTGGGTACTAAACCTAGAAATTAACTATTAAAATAAGTATTTGTTAAAGGTCACTTTCTATTATGGACTTACTGAGCCCAGTATACCAGTGTAGGTTGTCTGTGAACACCTACCTCTGTGTTCTTGGAGAGGAAGTCTAAACTGCTGACTTAAGCAGGTTTAGTAGTTATTTCCTCTTCACTTGGAACCATGGGAAATTCAGTTCCAATACCTTCACTGTACTTCAGCAAAGGTTTTCAGTACTCACACCACACTACAATTCCCAGAATTCTTTGGAAAAAGTCATGGCACTGAAACAAATTTGCCTGCAGTATAGATGTACCTTCTTTTTTTGTCAAATTAGAGACATATTGAAACACTTAGATAATATTGCATGGCATAATTATGGACAAACAAACCAGATTCAAGGCAAATGTTTACTTGTCCTTTGTGTTGGTATGGTGGTGGAAAGTGCCATCAAGTCACAGCTGATTTATGGTGACCCTGGGGGGTGGGGTTAAGGCACGAGACATTCAGAGGTAGTTTGTCTCCACGTCTTCCTTGGTGGTCTCCCATCCAAATACTGACCAAGGCCGACCTGTTTAGCTTCCAAGATCTGACAAGATTGGGTAGCCTAGGCTATCTAGCTCAGGGTGTTTTGGCATACATGGCTGAAATGTCTGTATCAACCTGCAAAGGTTGTTGGGTATAGTTTTTGATGACTTACTAATTATTATTGTGATAACTGAAAGTATTCTAGAATTTGAACAGATCACAGAGGTAGATCAGTCTTTTTCCAATCTTCATTGGACCTTCAGAAAAGTCCTGTTCCATTGTGGGACTTATTTAAATAAAAATACATCTTAGAAAAATGCTCATATG